AAAAAAAATAATAAATACAATGTACTCACTGTGTTCATAGGGGTACGGTTATGGACAGGTTTGGTGGAATGGGTAATTACAGATGTAATTACATACGGTTATTTAATCAAGCATAAGCACAGAGTAACATGTATTTACACAAATACATGTAGCGAATTATTAATTTCCATGCAAGTACATATTAGTTAAAGACACTTAATATAAAGTGGAACCAAAAATTGCAATTTTACCATGGTTTATAACTTTTTCTTCAAAAGAAGGTAATGATTCACACTCAATTGCTTCGTACTGTTTTTATTTTTACTTTTTCCTACATTCTTACAAAAAAAACTAAAAATAAAAAAGTAAAAATAAAAATAAAAAAACAGTACGAAGCAACAGTGCGAATCATTACCTTCTTTTGAATAATAGTAACAATAAGATTAACGCACCAAACCAAAGAAGTAAAAACCCGCAAGCGCGCAGGACAAACTTCAGTAACTTTTATAACTTTTTCTAAACACGTAACTTGGACAACTTATAAAAGCAATTACCCCCTGAATATTCAGATTATTTTTAACCCTCATATTGCAGATTTTCTACGTTCCATCACGGTCAATTATTTTCCTTTAAACTAGCAGCAAAAGTAATTTTCATTGCCGGGTTTAACTAAATTATTTAATGACTTGAAACACAATTCTTAAGTTTTTTTAGGACAATTTAACTGTTTTATGTCCTATCCACTTAAATTTGTAAAAACAATTAAGTTAACCTAATAGATTTGAGTTGATACATAAAATCAATGTACCATGTTTAAATTGATATATCATGGTAGGAAGTTCACGAAATGCCTTCAGGGAAGATGACTTTAAAAGTTAACATTAATGGCTTGCCATAAAACAAAAAAATCCAGTTGACTCGTACAATGTAATGTTGGCTATTTACATAATGCTGGCCATATACAAAAACCAAAACACTAATTTCATGTTCCAGTGTCACACGAGGACAAATGTTCAGGGCTAAGAGAAACCAGAAATTTACAATCGATACCATACAAACAAAACCATAGGCTTATTCTAATTAAATTAGCTTGTTAGAAAATTACTTAAAATATGAACAAATATACATTTAAACATTCTTAATGGATTAAAATGGTTGTCCAAAATGCAACAACTAACGTAATGTAGGCTTTTCTAGTGTTTATAACTTTATTATGCATCTCTTGGATCTTCAAGCAACCCAGCAAAATATTACCTTTAATAACAAACTAGGGCTGCACGATAATGGGGGGAAAACTATTTAAAAATAATAATCGGAAGCTACATTATTTTGTTTGTATAAGAATGCAATTTTATCGGATTGTTTAACAACGCTATTTTGCTAAGAAATCCTAAATTTAGACGGATTATTGTGATTTTGTATGGGAAATGAATCGTGGATATTAAAATCACACATACACATGAAAGAAAATGTTCAAGGCTAAGTGAAAGCAATCATACAGTGTGTTAAAATAAAAGTTTAATACATTTATTATCGAAGTGGATTTGGAAATACCATAACAGTCAATTCATAAGTACAAACCATGAGCCAAATAATATTTGAGTTAATCAAAAAACTAAACTAGATTTAATTGGGCCTTTAACACACACACACACACACACACACACACACACACACACACACACACGTTAACGGAGCCTCAGACATGAGGGTCTACGAAACATTGGATTTAATATTCAACCCCTACAGATAAATTGTTATGTTGCCAGGCAACACCATTGCCGTTGATGTTGTTATGTTTCGCCACAACACATAAATAAACATACATTTATATATGATAAACGTACAACACACTAAACGCTGATCCGCCGCAAACGAACGCTACGCTGTAAACGTGCGACAGACAATGGAGCTCAGACAATAGTGACCATAATAATAAGCACCTACACACAGAAATGCGTTTATAAGCAACTTGGATTTAATTTACACTGCTTCCCAGTGCAGAAAGCGAACTAAATAAGCGAAATAAACAAACCGAGCAACAAATAAACGCGCTTTCTCTCGCGCGCGCGGCTAACTTATTAGCAGCGTAGCTAACGCGCCAATGACATAACGCTTCTATCTCCCAGCAAACTCCTCAGGAGAACTATAAAACGTGCTAAATTTAGTCTACATAGCATGTCGAAAAGGGCGCATGTGTGCTGGGATTAAAATATGTACTTACCTTTAGGTGACGGTGCGAGATAAGAATGAATTAAACGAGCGGTGCTGCTGCTGCCCCAAACCGCACGCGCCAGGCCGCAGTTTATACTACCGCCCGGATGTCCAGCCTCCTGAACAACGCGCGCGCACATTGGCTGGCGAACACGTCCGTTTCAAATGTTGCAGTGTCGCTATTGGATGCTGGAGATGGCGCTCGGAGCGTTGATGTTGCGGAAAGTAATATTAAGAGGGAGGTTTGCACTTTTTAAAATGGGCAAGCATGGTACATGATAATATGAGATTTGTGGACAAGAAGAGA